TCTTGGCATCATACGAGTGTGATACCATTTCATTCTTCTTTCTCTTTCGATTGCCTTTAGAGGTACCATCTGCTGCTTAAAATTTTGACCAATTTCTCTGCAAGATGCTCCAACTGCAAACTTCTACGTATTTTATACATCAGTTGGATTAATTCGCCAGCCGCTCAAACACGTTTGATATGAACCCAAGCGTGAACATTTCAAAGGGAATAAAGAAGACACTTTGAAAGAGGAAATCAATTTTACCGCCATACTTTCCTATTGAACCCTCGGTTAAGGTTCATGGCGTTGCTCAATAATGATAAATCTAAGCCTCTCGAGTGACTGACTCGCCGGGCTACCCGGCAACGCAATTCTAATGCTGTCATACAGAGCCTTGGGACAGACCTGACGCAGCTAATACAGAAGTGGTTGATGGCGAAATTCTGCCCTCTGCAGATGTTTATCATGCGCACCGTTTACTTGTGTCGCATTTTAGTCTCGTAGGTTGGTGGGTATGATTGATGTTTATATTTGGGGTGTGTGTGGGATGACCCTGTCTGCCAGCAGACCATGCAAGAGGTACTGACTTTTTGTTTTTGGGGGGAGCAGGAAGAAGCCAGTAAGCCTCCTATGGACCAAGTAATTGTTTACCTTACCTACTTTCAGCACATGATTGGTAACTGGAGTTGGTCATTTTCTGTTTTAATCCATCAGGTTTTGTCATCAGACAAAATATGATGCCACAGGACATGGGCTACGTTGTTCCACATTCTTGGTTATTTGTCCCAAATTTCTTAAAGTGGTCCCTCATGGCTGCTTTAACCAGATGTTTTCTATAGTTGTCATGGTTTGCTAATCGGCAAGTGACTGTACTGCATATATGCACTATATTTTTTAGCACAGGGATACTCTAAGCTGCGTAACCAGTATGACATCAGTTGAATATTGGTATATAACAAATAGTCAGACCACCCCATTTAAAATATGTAGCCAACTTCTCAAACTTTGCCATTAATAAACAAGCCTAAATGGATGCATTTGCTGCAGCTGAAAAGGCAGGCAGCAATACTGGCAGGGTCACCTAAAAGTTATGTTATTTTTGGAGAAGAGAGATTGTTTTGTACAGCATGCCTATTATTGCCCTTGACATACCTTAACCATGATAATCAAAATAAGTTGTTCAAACTGATTTAAAGTGTTTTGATTTGTGTGTTGTCAGCTTTGTCTGATGTCAACAAGCTTACACAAATAAACTAAATGAAAGTGCAAGTTGAAACCAGCCAAGAACTAGCATTAGGCATCATGTTTTTATCACAAGTGCTGCTGTTAACAGATGTGTGAGTTGAGATGATGTTCATCATATGGGCTACTCTAAGTTAGGTTAAGTTGGTCAAATGCATGGCAAGTGGCAATAGGAATTGTGCAAGAATCAGTAACTCACAACTGCTGCTGTGATTGCTGTGATACAAACAGGTTATACAGGATGAGATGTCAGGCCTCTTTAGGTTAGGCATAGGGTATTTTCATGGAAATAAGCATTGGTATTTCGTAAGAAACAGTGACAAGGTGTTTGTTTTCCCTGACCCCATCTTAACAGAAGCCAGAAGTATGTCTAGTGTGCTTGGCTTGGTGATGGGCTGATGTGTAGGAGTCCAAGGTGTTTTTGTTTGAGTGTTTTATGCTTGTTGCATTTTCCGTTGTTATTTTGTTATTGAATTCCTTTGCTTTGTTTTGTTTTAAAAGGGCTGTGGAAGGGAACTTAAAAGTGCATTATCAATTTATTGGTGTTAATAACTTGCTATTCCCATAATGCTGTCAGGAGATTACTATGTTTTAACACGCGCCCGGTTGGCCGGCTAGGTATCCTTCGCTCGGGTGGAGATGGGGGTGGGAGTCAATTTGACCCCCCTCTGAGATTTCAAAAACTAAGAAAGCTAGATACACCAAATTTACAGGATGTCTTGACCTATACGTGAACTCACTAAGGTTAGGGTTTCAGCTTTCTGGGTCATGACCCTCAGGTCGAATAAGTCAAACAAGGTCAAATTCCAGGTTGGTCTCCAAAGCGCCCCCAGAACCTAGGAAACTGTCTCTAAGCAAAAGGTCACAAGCCCATTTGAGGTCATTGACCTTGCTTGACCTTTGAAGGTCATGGTGACCAAAATGATGCAAGACTGCTCTGCGTTTTGCATTTGAATAAGCGACAAAGATTACGCTAGGCAGTATATTCCTAAAACAAACCGTTCGACGCGAGTAATCTGTGGTCAATGGCCTGTTTTGACCTCTAAGAAGTCAATTGTAGATGTATAATGCGGTTCCTGCAGTCAATAAATTAGAAATGAGCACCAGAAACTATTCCATACAGCAAGCCCTAGAGTAATAAATCATGTTGGTTTTGACCTTGGTCTGACCATCATACCTGACCTTAGATCAACGTAATTTGCTCATTCAATATTTGTGGTACCTAAGAAAGCATCTCAGAGATGTGTGTCTTCGTCAAACACTCCGTTTGAACGATTTCCTAGAAACTGCCTTCGCTGAAACCATGAGCTAACTGACCTGTCATAGGTGAGCGACCTTACAAGGTACATCTAAAATTTGTATGTGAAACGATCCGCTAGGCAATTTTCTACAGCTATGCAAAATTTGGCGCTGCTATGCCGCGCCGTTCAGAAACCATTCGGGAAAAGCCCTCGGGGGGGGGGGGTCAATTTGCCCCCTCCCATCCGAGCGCGTGTTAATGTACTTTGTTTCACTTTAATGGCCTAAGATGTTAAAAAACGAAAAAGTTTTGTCAGGTTCCTGATATTACGTCCATGCCAATTTGAAATACATGTTTTTGTTTGCTGAGGCATAAGTCACGAGCTCATGAGCTCCATCTTTTGTGAATTGATTTTTTTTCATTCCCGCACGGTCTTGTTGCGATGGAATTTTTCACTCCAGCCTAGTTCAAAAGGGATTCTAGCTCCCTGTAATAATGCTCCGTCCAGGGGCAATTTGAACAAAAAAGGTAGCTTCTGCCAATTAACGATTTACATAGCCTTCCGATAGTTCTCCCACAGCGATGTCGTTTTCGTAGTGGGCACCCTCCGTGCACGGGTAAAGGTATATTAAGTTAGGCTTATCCTTTAGGAAATCTATGGAAACGGACCGTGCGCCTGGCTACAGACATAGAGTCATATACTGTTGGGGCTCCAACGAATAAAGGAGATTTCCTAAACACGGAAGTTCGTTGTGTTGAATGATGCCAGGTTGTACTAGCAATATCGAACACACACAGTTGCTCTCTTCCCGCGGTCAGAGGAGTTTTCACTGGCCGACGAACTCTGGCCATCTCATTACGGGCATGCCGGGCGTAGTTAGCAACACGCTGTCAAGGTGCAATCTGGACAAAAAAGGCCGAATCGCCCGCTGGTTGGCGAATATTCCTGTTGGATAGTGATCCCACAAGTACATCATGTGCTCCCGGGTGCACCCTCCCCGCAGTGGTAAAGATATTTTAAATGCTAGGTATGTCTCGGTAAACCGCCGCCGCATGCGGACCATTAGCAAAGAATGATATGAAGTCAGTGGTTTGTTAGAATGGCATAGTTTTCTTAGTCGAAGAAGCGTGTTGTGTTGGATGATGATAGCCCTAAAGCACGGTTTGCGAGTTTTCGAGCGCAATTATCAGTACACTTCTCAGCCCGCCTCGTCGTGGTACCGATCTTACGGCCGGGCCAGTGTCGGTTGCAATGCTCCGTGGAAGGGTTATTCGAATAAAAAAGTCTTGCCGGACGGTGACCGACTTAATCTTCCGGCGGAGTGCTCCCACAGTTGTATCGTGTGCGAATAAAAGCACCCTCTGCGTACAAGTAAAAATAATTCTTACTGGGCAACACATCTTTGCATCCCATGTTGGTCGGGGTCCTCTGACAATGAAAGGAGAAAATGCAGATGTGAGCCATTCGGACTCATCGAAGCACGTTCTGAGCACAGGGCATTGCATGGGATGGGAGGGGGGGAAATTTTGAATTATGAGACAAACTAGAGAACAAAAGACTTAAGAGGACATTTTCATTTCTAGAGCATGCAATGACAAACTTCTGAGCGCAAAAGTCTTGTTGATCATGAGATCATTTCTTCTGATTTATCTGGCAGAACCCTATGCGTTAAACTGAGGAATGATCTACCATGGTTCAATGGCGCAACAATGGGTGTACCCCTAAACGATAAAACATTTGAAACTATCGGATATCGCCAAATTCGGAAATTGACAGTTGTGATGTACGAATGTCTAACTTCACAGCATCCTGCATCATTCGATTCAATATATAAGCTCTACGAATCAAATGAAATGTGTATAAGACGAGTCAAACATTCAGACCAACCTTTCTCTGATCGTAATTATACACTATTTACCACATCTTGCCTTGACCCTACGCTGAGGAGCGATATTGTTGTTTTATAGTTTCCAAGAATAACTGATATCTCTGTATCAACAACCATCGTTCAGCACATCATCTGCAAGCATTTTGTGAATACGTATGAACGTAGCCAACAGATTTAAAGATATCGGTATTTTTTGCCCAACACGTATGTAACTCACTTCATATTTAACCTCCTTCATGTTTCATAATCAGGTTCTGATCAAGTTATATTCATGTGCTTGTGCCCAAATTAATGGCGTTGGATCCGAGAGTTCTCCCAACAACAAGCTTCACTTAGCTGGGTGGATTGCCTGGGCATTCAGCTTAAAACCCAGCACGAAAATGACCAGTTTATTGCCCCTCCGAGTTGTGTGACTGTGCAACCCTTACTAACACTTTGAATGAGTGGCTGTAGCTGATTGACTGGTTCTAGCAGGCTGTCACTAGCTTACTTTGGCTCTGACTATTTTAAACTTTCGCATGCATGATTTGTCCTTGCCTATGGCATAATACATTTCCTGCCGGGTCTGCACCGCCTGTTCGCCAGCTTCTCTATACTTGTTCCCTCTTCCTAGTTGGGAGTGCCGCGATTTGATTTTCGTCTTCTGGTGTTAGCTTGCGGTTTATTGCGTCGCTGGGATGGAGGGGCACTCGTGGCTACCTGTTCTTGGGTAACGGCATATAAAAAGTCGAGGCGATTCAAACTGTTACACACCGTCTTGGATACCAAATTGCTCTGTAAAGCTGGTTAACCACTTCCACTGCGTGGTGATCTAAAACCAGGCTAGCGTGTCCGGCGTGAAAAGTAATCAGGCCATTAGCATCAAGTAACTCACTTATACAAATTGATCTCATTTGATTTAACGTTCATAGGCATGCTATACACGCAAGCATGTAATCTTCCCTCCTGATGCGCTTTACCCGGGTCGCTCCGGCGTGAACGCCAAAATACAGCGGGTCCGCGCAGCTATCAGTGTGGCGGTGGGAGCGGGTGAGAACGTCACTGAACCAGGAGTATTGGTGGAGACCGTTGGTGTGTCTTGGAATTTCGCGATGACGGCTGGCGTGGCGTGCCGGCCGAAGACCATCGAGGACGTTCTTCAGCCAATGGTCCTGTGCAACTCTCATTGCCAGCATATATCGTGTCTAATACAACGCAACACACAGTTGTAGAGCGGCATCACGGTCATCCGCTATGGTTCCACGCGCATCGGTTCCCCCAATCTGCGTCGTGCTCGGACTGTTAGGTCGCTGCTCATCACTGGCTACGGCAGGCGCACGAGCACGCGGCACGGCCCGCCACTGCCGCCGCCAATCTTCATCGGCAAAGCCAGAATCCTGCGGCAAAAAATGATACTTAGTGGTTTACCACGCATTTTGGGGGTAATCGAACAAAAGGTAAGAAATGCCATGAGGTAAAAAGACAAAAGCATGATGTCAACAAGGCAACTGGCAAGAAGTGAAAGAGGAACAAAAATGAAATGATTAAGGTTAAACGGCAATAAGTAAAAATGGCCAACTGCCAAACATCAAAAGTCAAAAGGAATAACAAACACTTAACGGTAAACAAACAACTAAGCGTCAAAAAACACGTTAACATTCAAAAAATCAACTTAACAATAAAAAGTGAAATAAACAAGAACGCGAAATAAACAAAACATAAAAATGGATGCAAGTCAAATGCCTTCATATAACAAGGCAGCAAGGTGGAAAAGATCAAAGGCAGACGGATGAAAATAAAAATCACAGAATAACAGAAAGATCTAAGCACATAATGGTAAATTATACGCATATCACGCTTTTTAGTATGCTAGACAGAGATGCAAGCTCTTGCACATTTGGCTTAAAAAAACAGCTGCATTTATACGAAGCTGATTCAAACTAACAGGCCTGCACATTCGATTGCTGTTGCTGCACACATGTCGTATAAAGACACAGGCAGAGAGAGAGAGAGAGAGAGAGAGAGAGAGAGAGAGAGAGAGAGAGAGAGAGAGAGGAGAGAGAGAGAGAGAGAGAGAGAGAGAGAGAGGAGGAGAGAGAGAGAGAGAGAGAGAGAGAGAGAGAGAGAGAGAGAGAGAGAGAGAGCGAGGAGAGAGAGAGAAAGAAGAGGAGAGAGAAGAAGAGAGAAGAGAGAGAGAGAGAGAGAGAGAGA